TTCTAAGTATCACATTTACTGGAAGTTGAGAAATGGGGAATAAAAGGGTTGCTTACAGAATGCCCATTTGCCTTTATTATAAGTACTTTGAGTCATCACCTATAGTTTCATTCTGTTGAGGACTTGTTATTTCTGTTATTGTTTCCAGGTGTCTGATTTTCTTATAGTTATTTTCCACTGAATTTTATTATTCTGATATTGTTCTTCCCATCGCCTTGTTACTTTAAATACTGGATCAATGTGTGCAACTGTTCTGACTGATTGCTTTGAGTTCCACAATTGTCATTATAGTGAGTTGGTGAAAAACTATATCAGCAAACACAATGAACTAACATTATGTGAAATATTTTATTTAACCGTTTACCAGGTATCTGTTCTTCATTCTGCGTATGATATTCCTGTTGTAGCTGAATATAGTGTCAGTGGCACCACATATGCTCCTGAAGGTACAATCTTTGACAATACTGCAGATGTGCAGGTAAGTTTGCTAGTCATACTCTGCAATTTTTATTTTGTTTTAGTTGATATGTTTTTGTCTTAATTGTGACTTACTGGGGATATGCCGCAGCTCGATGTTCCAGCGAATTTTCAGTGCCTTCTACATACTGCAATGTGCTCAGCTCTTTGTAACGAGTCTGTTATTCAGTACAACCCTGAGAAGAGAAGTTATGAAAAGATTGGTGAGTCGACCGAAGTAGCGCTCCGTGTACTGGCAGAAAAGGTTGGTTACAGTCTTATCCTACCGATTGGACAAATATATGATGCTGGGGCTTAATTTTAGCACTTTGTCTGTTATTCATAGCTAATCCTTTTATGATTTTCGTTTGCACTGATGTAACCTAAAGTAAGAGCTTTTATCATTTTCCACAGATTGGGCTTCCTGGTTTTGATTCTATGCCTTCGGCTCTTAATATGTTGTCCAAGCATGAAAGGGCGTCATACTGTAATCGGTATTGGGAGGACCAATTCAAAAAGGTGTATTCCTGTTTACTATTTCATTAGTTGACAAATTTGAGATGGATCATTGATCATTCTCTTTGAGGATGATTGACCGTCTGAATTTCATTAGTTGGCACCGACAAATTTGAGATGGATCATTGATCATTCTCTTCGAGGATGATTGACCGTCTGAATATGGTACTTATTAGTTGTAACTGGAGTACCCTGGAAAATCATTCAAAATTCTGTGGGCAAGGGAGTGTTGATACTTAATTTAAAATTGAAGAAGTTTCTATTGATTCCTATTAAATATTTGGTCATTGTTATTATCATGTTCAGTCTATTCAAAATTAGACCGGTTATACTCGATTAAACTTTTATCAAGTCGCAACAGATCTCTATACTCGTTATGAATAGGATTATATTACATGCTAATGCATGTTTAATATTATTTTTGTCATAGCTTATTCCTGTCACGCGTGATTAATTATTCTATTTCTGCCCATTACTTGTAGGTCTCAGTGTTGGAGTTCACTCGTGATCGAAAGATGATGAGTGTACTTTGTAACCGGAAACAGGTACAAATTATGTTCTCAAAAGGTGCTCCAGAGAGCATTCTTCCTCGATGCACAAATATTATGTGCAATAATGATGGTTCAACTGTTCGTCTAACGCCAGAAATCAGATCTGAGATAGATTCTAAATTCCACAGGTAGGTTATAATTCATGACTTTAAGCATTTCTCTTTGTTTATTATATTTGCATATATTTGAGAAAATGCACTTAAAAAAGAATATCTGAAGAAAGTGCTAAAACCCCATTGTCGAGTATATTCTGGCACCATTTAATTGTGAAAAGAAGATATTACATCTGAAGCCAAAAGTATCACCAAATGCCTTTTTTGTTCTATAATTGCATATTACCATAACTTCCAATCACTGCATATCAGTTGTTTCTGGCGATATAATATTGGTCTTAAATGTCGATACTGTATGTCAGTTTTGCAGGAAAAGAAACTTTAAGATGCTTGGCTTTAGCCTTGAAAAGGATGCCACTTGGAAAGCAGGCTCTATCCTACGATGACGAGAAAGATCTTACATTTATTGGGTTGGTATGCTTTCTCTTCTGTTTGGACCATACCTTGAATTGTCTCTATTCTTGCTTATTTTATTTAGTACTTCACCATTGTTGTCTATAAAAATATTGATGGTTGAAAAATTTGTTCTGTTATTAATGGGTCTTTTTTGTTGATTATCTGTCTTCATATATCTTCAGTTTGGGTTTCGTTGAATCCTTTTGTTGTCAGTCGAATGTTCTTTTAGTTAACGCCGCATCTATTCAATAATGTAAAGGTTGGGATGCTTGATCCACCGAGGGAGGAAGTAAGAAATGCTATTCTTTCTTGTATGACTGCCGGGATACGTGTCATAGTTGTTACTGGAGATAACAAGGTAAAGACAATGATATCGCTTGTTCAAATGCTATCTTTCTGAAATTTCCGCTTTGGAGCTGTCAACTTCCTGTAGGAAACTAACTCATTTGTTTTGGTGTTGTGATGTATATATAGATCACTGCAGAATCATTGTGCAAAAGAATTGGTGCCTTTGATCACATGGATGATTTTGTCGGGCTTTCTTATACTGCCTCGGAATTCGAGAACCTTCCTGCATTGCAGAAGACAATTGCATTGCAGCGGATGTCAATTTTCACACGGTATTATAACCATGTTCCTTTTTTCTCTTTTGGAAAGGGCCCAATATTGCTTTGCAGGGTTCTCATTATGAGAATAGCTTTGTTTACGCAATTATAAAAAATTGTGCCAGGGTGGAACCATCTCACAAGAGGATGCTTGTTGAAGCATTACAGCATCAAAATGAAGTGGTAAACTTTTGCACAATTTATTTTATGTATGGCGGAGCAGTCATCACATTTTTGTGAGATTCAATTTTATACTGCAAGATTGTTACGTTTGTGGCAACTCATGCAATATTCTTATTCCTCTAATCCTCTCTTTGCATTGTGTTCTTGTTGAATTGTGACTGGTCTTGAGATGTCGAGCATTTTCTGGGATGAAATTTTCATGCTGTTAGTATGATTACTAATATATTACTTCATTATAGTTACTTCAAGCTTGTTTAGTTTATCAGTGTGATCTCTTGAGTTCAAAAATCTGAAGAAACTTTTTTACTACATGGAAAAGAAATAAGGGATTTCAAAATTCGATTGATGTTGGTTGAACATCTTCATGATTTAGTTAAAGAGTTAACTTCTGCCCTTTTACAATCTTTATTATTTGATTGACCCAATTTGTTGAAATTTTGAAAGTTTTTCTGTCAAACCCTGATCGACTGGAACAACATAACTCCATCCGAATTTTGATACATCTTCAGTTCTAGAAGTTCAAAAGATTTATTAAAATAAACTAACATTAACTTCAGAAATGTGCACAAATTTACCAGCGCCTCTTTTATTTTGTCAAATTTTTATGCTTACTTTCAATTATTGCAAAATTAGCCAAGGTAGTTTTAAGACTGCTTAGCCTGGATATAGTAATGCCGAAAGGTTTGTGGCAACTATTTCCACATTTTCAACATTGGGTTACATGGTCACAGTAGTTCAATTTCTACTTTATGAGGAATTATATCAATCCATCTTAGCTCTCTAATTACCAACACTTGATCTTTTTTAAGGTTGCAATGACTGGAGATGGAGTCAATGATGCACCTGCTCTCAAGAAAGCAGACATTGGAATTGCCATGGGATCTGGAACTGCAGTGTCAAAGGTATAGCCTTTTGAGAATTAACTTCAGGTCATTTAAAAGTATCTACTGTCCTGAACGCTCTTGTCGATTGAAGACATTTTAGTTTTGAGTTTCATTTAATGTATTGGTGCATGAAATGCTTGCTGAATTAGTTTCTTTATCCATTTGTTGTTTCAGAGTGCTTCAGATATGGTTTTGGCTGATGATAATTTTGCCACAATAGTTGCTGTAAGATTTACCTTTCTGTTTAACTTTCAATCTTTTGCACCTTTTCTTGGTGGTGTTGGTGGTTGGCACCATATGGCTTTTTCTGTACATCAGGCTTGTTTTTTGATCAGGCTGTTGCTGAGGGAAGGGCTATTTACAACAACACTAAGCAGTTCATTAGATACATGATCTCTTCCAATATTGGTGAAGTAGTTTGCATCTTTGTGGCTGCACTGCTCGGCATTCCTGACACACTTGTGCCTGTGAGTTAAAATGTCGTTGCATTCACAACCTACCTATATAGTGGCAGTGAATGTATTGCTGTGAATCAGTGAATCTGTCTTTTACATTTAGTTTTTGATGCTTTGCCTTAATATTGTTAAAGATTGCTTGTCAAGAGTGGGAGAATGTGCTCATATTTCTTGGATCACATCTTTATTTTATTACAGGTTCAGTTGCTTTGGGTGAATTTGGTAACAGATGGCTTACCTGCAACTGCGATTGGCTTCAATAAACAAGATTCTGATGTTATGAAGGCCAAACCTCGCAAGGTGTTTTATGGCGTATGATCATTCTAATTTAAAACACAGTTAATCTGAGGGAACACATCATGGAACATTTTTAAAGTGATGCTGTGGAGTCAGTTTACTAGTTTCGTTTCTTAACAACTTATTTGCTTCTTTTTTGTATGTGCTACATAGCTCATGAGCTCTCCTTTTGTGCTGACTAACAAAGTTGTTTCATCATTTGTCACACATGACTGCCAGGTCAATGAAGCTGTTGTCACTGGATGGCTGTTCTTTCGTTATTTGGTAATTGGAGGTACTAATGGGCGTCTGGTTCATTTTTGCCGAATTGCTTCTTTCTATATTCTTAGTTTTTTGCAGTTTCTTGCATAACAATATAATTGAAACCTTTCAGTTTGTTCGTGGTAACGTAAAGAATAACTGTGTTACTTGTAATTTCTTAACTGCGCAATTAATATTGATAAAATCATATTCCTTGTATAATGTTAAGTTCAGATCTTTGCATCTTGTTTTCCTGTTGTAGATACACAAACGAAAAATCATCTGTACATATTTTAATAAACAAATTCATGTGTTTTGGTTTCCTTTTACAGAATTTTTTTTTTAAAAGTATTAGCCTCTCTTCGACTCTTTGCTGACCTAGATTTTTCCTTTTACAGAATTTTTTTGTTTTAAAAGTATTAGCCTCTCTTCGACTCTTTGCTGACCTAGATTTTAATACTGAAGTTGCTTGAAGAAATGTGCTTTCTTATTTCTCACAACTATGTTTGTGCAGTTTACGTTGGACTTGCTACTATTGCTGGATTTGTGTGGTGGTTTCTATATTCTGACAATGGGCCTAAACTGCCGTACACTGAACTGGTAAGTCTTAGGCAACCTGGTGGCGTTTGGTTAATGAAAAGTGGACTTACTAATTGTCAAATTTATCATGGTTTTTTGAAGATCTTATATTTTCCTCAACACTGCTCCACTGGGGCTATATTTTCACATGCAAATGAGAAATAAGAGAGTTTGGACGAGATGAATATTTGTCGCGTCTTTTGCTCTAGTGATTGTATTTGATTTTTTCGTGAGATTTTATTGAACTTGGGACTTCATATGTTGCATAGCCATGTAATCAATCTATCTGGAGAGTTGAAAAAAATTTCTGTTTCAGGAGACGGAACATTATTGTTGACTATCTTTAAAATGAGATAGAAGATCATGTCAGTCAATATGTTATGATTGACAGGCCTGTCACTAACTTGATGTGTTCTTTCAATGTGATATTTATGTACCTTTGATTCTTAATTTTCCCTCACGTTAATAATCCTTCTACGATTCTTCAGATGAATTTCGACAGTTGCTCAACGAGGGAAACAACTTATTCTTGTGCTGTTTTCAGTGATCGTCATCCATCAACTGTTTCAATGACTGTACTTGTTGTTGTTGAGATGTTCAACGCACTGAACAACCTCAGTGAAAATCAATCACTCATGTGAGCACACTACATGCGTAAACTTCATTCTGCAGAATACATTAGCTATTACTGCAGAACGCTGTTCACTTTTTTTTCCCTTTTGCTTTTAATACCTTGTGAAGTTAAGTAGTTGAATACGAAATTTATTTTATTATGCATTGTTTTGCTTATTCATCTGATCTGTGTTATCCATCTTATAGTTCGAGACGTAACTTATAATTTGGCAATAGTTACACTCGGCTCCAAATTAAGTTTGGATGCAGCTGAATGAGTAGAGTTGTATGTAGTAATATTGAAAGAATGGACAATTACATGATTTGAAATTTCTTCATTTCATCCACTTGTAGAGTCATCCCTCCCTGGAGTAATTTGTGGCTTCTTGGGTCGATTGCCCTTACAATGATGCTTCATGTACTCATCCTATATGTGGAACCACTCTCTCTTCTCTTCTCTGTAAGTTGTTTATTATTCTCCACCTTTTCAAAAGCTGTTTCTAGTTTACATCCTTTTGGCATCCAAAAAGAATGCTTTTCTGGGACACTAAATTTTGTCAACTTTTTTTTTTCTTCTTAATTTCTTTTATGTAGGTGGCGCCACTAAGTTGGGCTGAATGGACTGTTGTACTGTATCTTTCTTTTCCAGTAAGTATACGCTCTATTAAAAAATGAGTGGAGGATAAGAATGCTTTTGAGTATGTTATGGGTATAAACAAATTCTACCCTTTAAGGTTTTGGGGTATGGCGTCGAACTCCAAAAAAGTTTTTAAATTTACAAAGAGAACCCCGTGAGGTTTGATACTGCCTTACATTTACCCTCATCAATTGAAAAGTGATTCAACTGCATGAATGTATTTTCATGCAATCATCCATGATCATTGAAGCAATTTTGGTCACGATCCATCATTTGATTTAACGGTGTGTTTGGATATGGATTTGATTGGTTTTTTTTTAACCTTACTTAACTTTGAAAAATGTGGTATGGCTAGTTAGTGGGAATTTAAGTTTAAATTAAAATATTATCTAAAAATAAAATAATTAAAGTTGTTTTGATGTAAAAGTTGAAGAAAAATGATTGGAAGCGATGGTTAGTTAATATGTGAGTGGATGAATAGTGAATTAAAGTTGATGCGATATGTTAGAATGATTGGTTGATATTATTTAATTATATTAATAATATTTTGGATAGTGGGGTTGAGTTAAAGTTGAGTTAAATTTAAATTTTGATTTTTTTTTTTTTTCGGTTAAGTTTATAACCAATCACACCCTAAGTACTCTCATTACATTTTTGTACAATATTTGTTTTCTATGTAAATGTATTTTCATGTTAAACTTAATTCTTTCTCCTGCAGGTAATAATCATTGATGAGATTTTGAAGTTGTTTTCAAGATCTAGTGGTAAATTTATTCACCGGTGGCAGACTATATCTGTCTGTGGGTAATTTACCAGGAAATATTTGTGTCAGGCAGTTTCTTATGGTTTACTGGTTTCGTGTTTGTTTGCTCATTTTTACAGGTCGTATTAGGTTTAACTTCAGATTCCGGAGAGGAGATTTACTGCCCAAAAGAGAAGTGCATGACAGCTAATAGAGAAGAGGAAATTTTTGTATTAACTGATACGAACGTTGGTTGCGATTCACAGCTAAAATAGGGGAAGTTATGAAAGTCATGTAGCAATAGCACTGCAGGATAGCCATACTGCATGAATCGTGTATTTTAAAACGTTCTCATGAAAATATCACGTTTTGGATAGACAAAGTTGTAAAATGCAACTCAAGTGAATGAGACAGTGCCAAAAGCAAGCGTGACTGCAATTTTTATATCTGTGCAACTAAAGCTTATTTCCCCTCAAAAAAAAAAAAAAATTTGGAAAAGCCATAATACGAGTCGTACATTCTTTTCTGTTCTTTTATTTTGTTAACATATAGTTGAATATAATAAAGAACTCAATCAAGAGAGGGTCGTTCCACATCAAGGGAGTTGTGATGGTGAAAATTATACATGATGGGACTCTGATTAATTGTTTTTCATTTTTCATTAAACAAGAATGATGTGCAGGCCAGTTCCTATCAGACATGGTGAGAATTGATCGAACATCCTCTATGAGTTGACAACAGAATGGATGCTGAAAAATCACGTTTCAGCAGAATTGATAGCTACATTGTCATTTATGGTAGCTGCAACATTTTCGTATTGTATATCATCCTCGGCTGTTTTCAATCTCTGCCGAAAAACCAAAAGAAAAGCAAAACAACAATAATGAGAGCAGGTTTAATCACATTTGCCTTTTCATTTTGCAATTTCATCTCTTATCTTTTTTTTTTTTAAATTTTTTTTTAGTGGAGTTATAGTTCTTAAGACGTGAAATGAGATTCGATTTCAGAATGAAAAATTACAAGTTCTATGACCTTGACAGATGAGGTTGTGATATACCCCTTTTAGTTCACAAGTGTTCTAGAAAATGTCATACATGCCAAGGAACAATTTAAAGTGCCTGATATAGACTAAAAAACTTTAGCAGTAGAGTATACTTAAATGAATTGATGGTAAAAGGATAAATCACGGAAACCTTTACTCCTATTCCCTACATCGAATTTGACAACGTAACATAACTTGTATATTTATTAAAATAGAGCACTTGAAAACAAATAAATAAACAAACGAGTTTTTATTGGTTCTCAGCAAAAATATTTCGAGTGTAACATGTGATGAACATGCAAACACTTGAATACTATACAAAATACATTATTTCTTGACTATATGTATCTTTTTTTATAAGGGTTACACGTCAATACTCCTAAATTACATATGAAAAGTTTTACAACGAGAAGCAGAAATTTTTACCTTTGCCCGAGCAGGATTTTCATCTGAAGTCCTTTTTGAAAACATTGCTTTGTAGAGCTTTGCATCTCTCTTATTGCTCTCCATCTCTAGTTGTTTCAAATTTTTCTGCAGTAACTTCACATCCCTACAAAAACAAACCCATTGCTATATGAAGTCTGGGATGGGCTTTACTTCTAAAATGACTTCACATGTCAGAAAAATTGAATTCAAAAATAATACCTCTCTTGGGGGTCTACTTCCAAAGCCTTTTTAATGTCAGCTTCAGCTGAAATTAATTCCGAGACCCCTATGTAAGCTTGAGCCCTTCTGTACAGAGCTTTCACGTTGCAAGATTCTATGTCTAGGATCTAATAACACAATCAGGACAATGAACATGACAGTTTCATTAAATCATTAATAAAAGATATAGAGTAGTCTGGGAAGAAGTATATCACAATTTAGGGTCCATAAGGAGAAACAAAAGTCAAGAAAAATGAAAAAAAGAAAAGAATAATATTTAATGTTTGATTTTGCTTCACAAAAAAACCTGCCAAATGAGTTAAAAAGAAAAAAAGAAAAAAGAAGCAAATGTCTACCAATAATTTCAGATACAGATTCTATAGACAACTATGGACTATTACAGTAGTTAAACTGAAGTTCCAGGACACATTTTGATAAAAATTAGTTTCCTAATCTTTCTTGATATCCCACAAATACAAGGTTTCGTGGCACAAGCATTAATGACCCATAAATGTATTTATTTCTTATATTATCCAACCAGCGAAGATGAGCACTTGAGTAGTCCATAGTTATAGTCCCCACCTTAGAACAAAGACTGATTGTTTGGACAAAATTATTCTGTTTCAGGCAACAAGCTGCACAATTCAACCAGCATGAAACCCTCAGCGGTTTCAAAATTTTCTCATCCTCATCCGTGAAATTTCCATCTTGGCTGGCATAATCAACTGCCTGAAACCCAAAAAAAGATAAAAAAATAAAAATTAGAGCAGGTTGAAATCGAGGCAGCACATTTTATTCTTGTTAATAAAGAAAAAAGAAAAAAAAAATAGAAACATGAAACCTTTTCATATTTCTTTAGAGCTCTTTGGTACTTTCCACTTCTAAAGAGTTGATTTCCTTCTTCCTTCATCCGGCCGGCTGTCTCAATCCTCTCTGGAGCACTCATCTCCCTAGGTGCTTTTTCCTGTTTAATAAAAGCAAAATAACAAAATG